GCAAGTGAGCACGGTCTTAGCCACTCCCACAATCCCTCCCCCTGCATCCTGGCCCTCCCACATCCTGCCCCCGTCCCCCCTCCTCCCCGCCCCACCCTGCCATCTGGTTCTTTTCACACAATGACACACAAACACAGCGCACATGCACATACACACACACACACAGTCAGGAATTTTTTTTTTCTCCTCATTTCCTTTCACAGAGAAAAACAGGATGAAGGGGCTCTTTCAAAACCCGAGGTTACCGTGGAAACCCCCTTATTCTTCTTCTGTCAAACCTGCTTACATTGTAACAAACACACACACACACTGCTATAGAGAGTGACAGAATTTGGACATTTAAAGTTTAAAGGGACCGAAGCTACAGCTGTCCTTCTGTCTGCCTAGTTTTGGCCTTCTGTTGAGTTCAGACAAAGAACTTTATGCCCCCCTCCCCTTTATTTTTGTCTTTGTCTCATTCCCCTTTTAATGCTCATACTTTCTTATAGCATTCTTAAAGTAAAACTTATAAAACCAAACACACGCTCTTATTAAGTTTCCTTGAAATGTGGTTGGTCTTTGTTGACGTCAAAAGTTGGCAAAAGATTTGTTTGTGCATATGTGGTTCTTTCAATTGGGCAACCTCAGCAGCTTTTTCCAAAGAACTGCTCACCCCAAAAATATTGATGTTGAAACTGTAACCCTCTCCTCTGTTCCAGTGTAGACAATCTCCAGCCATGGAATGCTGAAGGGAAAAAAGTTAGTTTGAAGTTATATAAAGTTAATGTTTTGCTTTTCTCCGATCTCGCCACCAGAGGGCCCGTGAAAAACACATGTGGCACCAGATATACAATAGGGCACATCATCTGAAAGCTTTTAGTGGGTTAAAAATAAACTAAAGCACTCCACAAGCAGGGAGTGGTGATGTGAAGATGAAAAGACCACATGAAAAGACAGAAGAGATTGAAAAGAGAAGAGGCTTTGCTCTCTGGGAGAGGACTGAAACGATTCTTTAAAGTGAGGCTGCAGTTCAGAGTGGTCAGGGATGAAAGTGTGCTTTCTTCTTTTCTTTGTCTCTTTTTGTGTTCCTTACTTGCTTTTTATTCATTTCTTTTCATCTTTCCTTTTTTTTTTATTTCCTTTCTCCAAGCATGGCTTCCTATCACCTACTCCTCCACAAATTTCTTCCTTTTAAGGAGTTAGGGAATGAGAGAGACAGGGAATAGGAGGGCGGGGGTGGGGGGTGAAGGACACACTCAGGTCTGCTGACTGATAAACAGACTCCTCTTTGTGCAGAGACAGAACGCGCGGCGCGCACCACACACACACACACACACACACACACACACACACACACACACACACACACACACACACACACTCAGTTATATATTGACAGAGACCCCTGCATGACTTGGTTCCTCATGATTCTGAGAACCCCTGCTATCCCTCCTCTCCCCTTCCATTTTATTTCTTTCTTTCCACTTAATTAAGAACAGAAGTTACAAATGGAAAAATGTAGTTATCCATTCATGACGCACACATGCTGCTCTCCGTGCACAGCAACACACAATAACACAGACCTAACACCCCCCCTCGTCTCTCAGTGCCGAGCAGCTGTTGGGGAGAGGAGGGGGTTCCAGGAAAGTGTGTGTGTGTGTGTGTGTGTGTGTGTGTGTGTGTGTGTGTGTGTGTGTGTGTGTGTGGTGTGTGTGTGTGTGTGGTGTGTGTGTGTGTGTGTGTGTGTGTGTGTGTGTGTGTGTGTGTGTGTGTGTGTTGTGTGGTGTGGTGTGTGTGTGTGTGTGGTGTGTTGTGTGTGTGTTGTGTGTGTGTGTGTGTGTGTGTGTTGTGTGTGTGTGTGTGTGTGTGTGTGTGTGTGTGTGTGTGTGTGTGTGTGTGTGTGGGTGTGTGTGTGTGTGTGTGTGTGGTTTCCACAAAACGACCATTATTTGTGAGACAGTATAACAAAAAGGCAGCTGGTACGATAAAACATGTGGATGTTAAGATGTTGGCACTCTACTAGTGTGCGTATGTGTGTATGTCTAGCCACACATGTGTTCTCCCTCTGTCATTTCCTCTCCTCCTCCACAATGACTAAGTGTAACATGGTGTGGTGCCTCATAGCCACCACTAGGGGTGCCATCAGCTCATAAATGAAATAAACTATCCATGTGGAAACCACAGAGCAGCCATTTTACAATCTGCACACCAGACCCCATTTTATGAATCAGCCATGATGACAACATAGCTGTGCCTGATTCCATTGGCTATAGAGCAGCTGGGACTGTAGCTATGATACACGTGCACGCACACACACACACACACACTCTGACAGGCACACTCTGACCTAGTGACATGATGCCATCACTAGGTCAGTAGTCTTGTCCCTGATTAACTGGATTGCATGTCTTTGAGATTATATCCCCTCAAGATTAGACCTCCCCTTGTGCATGCCCATATTTAAATGTGTACGTGTATGTACCCATATTCAAGAGGGGTATTTTTCAATATCTGTCTATGTTAAAAGAGTACGGTTAAGGCCTCAATATGACAAGAGCCATGAGATTTAATTGAATTTGATTCAATTATTTTTTTCATTCCCTTATTTTCTAGGGGCCAGAATCCTGTTGAAATGTGTTATTTTAATTTATCTCTCTCAGGTCTCTTTTTCTGGCCCTCTCCTAAGATGTTTATTTGTAGATGCTTGTCACTTCCTTTGAGTCTCTTCCTAACTTCTCAGCTGTGACTTGCTGTGTTTATGTGTTTGTGTGAAGATATTTATGTTGTTTCCTCTCAGATATCCTGATGGATTTTCCTACCCTGTGTGTGTGTAATGGTTCACTTCCTGCTGTGGTTTCCTGCTCTCGCATGGGACTATGGCCGGAGTGTTTGCCACACAAAAGTATTATTTATTCATGGCAGTGATTCACACAGCTGATATCACCCAAATGATATGCAGCAGTAGAAGTACACAGTTCAAACAGATTAGATGCCCCCAGGTTTGAGTCAATCTGTACAAGACACAAGTGATGGTCCATTCTGAGAGAGGAGTTTAATAGAGCTGAAGCTGACACTGAGGGAAACAATGGGACTTATTGAGGCCACAGACCCCTGACTGGCCGAATGACTGTTCTGTGTGTAAGTGTGTGTTATAACTGGAGAGATGAGCAGCTCATTAAGAGGCCTGGACTTGTTACCAGGCTGATTGGCCTCTCACACAGAGACAAAGCACTGTTTGACTGGACATATGGAAGGATGCACACACAGATGGGTGAATGAGTTGCTATGCTGCAGCAGATATCTCTGTGTCTGTGGGGAGAATGATTTCAGTGTTGCTGTTTGAATGAGACTATTTTTCAATTATCTGACAAACTGCCGTTGAATGCAACCAGATTGTGGGAAAAGATGGTGGAATGACTGCATGGAAGTAAATAAATAAGGCCACTTATGCAGTACAGAGAGGTCGGGGTTCCATAAACCTAAATTACAATGGATAATGAATATATTTAACTCTAGTAATTAGGCAGCCCCCGTAAGTAGGTCTGTCTTCACAACATCTAGTCATTATTTTGCAGTAGTTCTAGTAGTTTCAGTCCAGATAACCTTGTTTGCTGTAGTTTATTTTCTGTTCTGATGTCATTACATGAGGTCACATACGGGCAGTGGAAACAGGTGGGCTGCTCGGCGCACAGGGGCTGATTTAGATTGATATTGTTTGTCTGTGTTTCAGACAAAGAGACGCAGCATACTCATACTGTACATCCTGTATCAGCGCTCTTGCTGGCTGTTTTCCAGACAGTGATCCTTGTTTCCTGTTACTGTTGGGTCTAAACAAAGATAAGTCACGGACAAGGCCATATAGAGAATGAGATATACTGTAAGAAGGTGGGGGTTACACATCCTTCAGGGTTTATCAAACTAGTAGCTTTACAGAATGTACTCAGGGATTAATCAATGAGGCCAAATATTTGTATGATAATGGATAAACAGGAATAGTTACAGCTAAGGGCCCTAAGCACTAACAATTATTTTACGAATGTTATTATGATTTAAAAAATACATATTCAACAAATACAATGTTTCATTATTAATATTATTTGTAGGAAGTTATCTCAGTCAAGAACAGGAAATGTTCTACAAGTTGATAAGGCATTTCCTTTTATAATAGAAATAGAAGAAGCTCTTTACATTTGAGAATCTACCACAACTGTTACATAACTAAGTGGTTGATTAATGTATAAATTGAGCCTTATTTAGTCGACTAATGATTCCTTCACTAATCATGACATACAGTATTTGAACTGATAGAATCAGTATGAGTGGTTAGATAATATTGGCAAAAACCAAGTGAACAAATGTGACATCCAGTAATCTGCTGACGTTAGGTCTGTACAGTGGGCTGTCATGTGGTCAAACCCGTGTTGCTTGTTCATCTTTCACCCCTCGTTCTCATCACCCCCCGCACGCTGACACATCCTTACAGTCACAATCCTAACCTTGTCAGAACCAGTTAATGTGAAGTGTTTCTGTCAAGTGTGTGCACGTGTATCAGAATGTAGTGTACATGCATGTGTGTGAGCACAAACTTTTTATGCCTTACAGCCGACAAACGTCTCACCGTATTAATCAGACACACACACACACACAAACACACACACACACCAGGATGTCTTACCCCCAGCCCTTTCATAGCAGCTCATCATACCCAAGGCCATTGATACAATAATCCTAACACCTCCATGACACCATACAGTTGGGAGGGAATTTAAAAAAGTGAAGGCCATGCCAACTCTGTCAGTTTTTGTAGCCGTCACATAGACCCTCTATCCATAATCCACTTTTCTTTCCATTACAGAACCCACTGTACTTCTTTTCAAAACATGTTCTATATCCAGCTGTAATAGTCATCTGACATTTAGAAAGTTACCAAGATGCAAGTTCTAACAAAGTCTCCCCTTTCTTCTATCTCTTTCTGAATATTACCACCCCCCCCTCCCCATTATCTCTATCCATCTCTCCAGCCAAAAAGGAGCAGGATGGCGGGGGATGAGAAGAAAACGACGCAGAAGAAGAAGGTGAAGGAGCTGAAGATTCTTGACTCCAAGACCTCGCAGAACCTTTGTAAGTCTCCAACGGTTTCAAAGTCTGATACCACAGCACCAATGGCGTGGCTCTGTAAATTCATTCAGTGAACACCTTAATTAAAATGTCATCAATAACATTTGTTTAATTAAATTGTGTTTTATTTAATAACTGCTTTTAATTGTGTTTGTTTAAACAGCCATTTTCCTGGGTTCGTTCCGTCTTCCTTATGCGGAAATGAAAAACGCCATCTTTGAGGTTAATGAGAAGGTCATCACAGAGTCCATGCTTCAGGTACAGAGCTCAGATCTGCATCTAAAACTATAATACAAGTACAATCAGCTCATAATAGAGCCTACATCAAACCTCTGCCTTGTTTAATTTAATTTAATTTGATATTTCTTAACCAGGAAGTTGAACTACATTATCTATTTTACAACTGAGACCTGGCAGCGTAACATAGGCATCATACATAGTTGCATATGAACACACGATCCCTACAATTCTTCACACATTGATCCTTAAGGATACTGCTCAATAGCTAATTGTCCTTCAGTGTCCATGCCCAGACACAGTTTGTAGAAAGTGGTCAATAAAGTTGCTTTTCTGTAAACCAATGTCCCTCAAGGAGTAGTTTGAGACACTGAAGTGTCTCTAGATCCTTTCATGTATATGTTGCCTTTTATTGTCCCCTAGAACCTGATCAAACTGCTGCCAGAAGCAGAGCAGCTGAAGGTCCTGGGAGAAATGAAGGATGAATACGACGACCTGGCTGAGTCCGAGCAGTTTGGAGTAGTGGTGAGAAAACATGCACACAAATAAAATATCACATAATTTAGTTTTTTGTAAGCATGTCCCAGCTGACTAGGGCCTGACTGACCACAACCATTGCAGGGAAATCAGTGTAATGAGGCATAGACAAAGTTGAAATACTGATATAGAGTCACACAGTCGTCAATAATTTAGACACAGAATACGTCATGCTGCTAAACACAGACTTCTTTGTTCAACTGTGGTAGATGCGAGTAATGGATGAAATCCCCTTCAGTCACACACAGCTACACACAGCTACACACACAAGCGCATAATCTATGTTGGGTAAAAACACATCAGGAGTCCCTCTTTTCTCTCTTCAGATGTCCGGCATAAAGCGGCTGATGCCACGGCTTCAGGCCATCCTGTTCAGGCTGCAGTTCGAGGAGCAGATGAACAACATCAAGCCAGATGTGGTGTCTGTGACAGCGGCCTGCGAGGAGCTGAGTAAGAGCCAGTCCTTCACCAAGCTGCTGGAGATCATCCTCCTCGTAGGGAACTACATGAATGCTGGCTCCCGCAATGGGAAGGCATTTGGCTTCTCCATATCATACCTGTGCAAGGTAAAAGGAGGTTTAGACATAGTACACACACACACACAACACACAAACTCACACACACCAAATGTATTGAGTGGACTGGAAGTCTTACTTTTTCTTGTATTTCTGAAGACCAACTAGAAATGCTAGTAAATTACATAAAACTGGGTCTCTACGCGTTAAGCCATCACTTAACTGGGCCCTTACCTGCAGTGTTAACACAATGACAGTATGAAGTGGAATCAATTCATCATTCATGTTTTTTGGTTTCACTATTTTCATCATTACATTATTGTGTGCCCTCCACAAAAGCAGAAACTTTTTCTGTGTCATATTATTCCATTTCATGCAGGTGAGTAACATAAACCACATGTACATAGTCAATAACAAACAAAGGTCTCCCCCCTTTGTATTTCAATATAAGCTATATGTATGTAGTATTGGAGATAGAGTTATATATGTACACATAACACTATAACTCCTTTATCAGTACAGTGATGCTACACCAACTTAGTGGACCAACAGTGATGTCTACACTGTATGTATATAATGTGTTTTTAACTTCTATAATGTAAATATAGGCAAAAGAACCATGCTGGATGTTTGGAAACCCCTTATCTGACTCTGAAAAACACTGACAGTTGTGCAGACATGAAATACTTTTGATTAATTGTTATTTCACGGTGCCATTTTTAAATCAACCATTCTCCCAATCAGCTTCGTGACACCAAAAACAGCTGATCTGAAGCAGACACTGCCTCCATTTCCTGGCTGACGTGTGCCAGGAGCAGTACCCTGAGATCATGGGCTTTGCAGACGAGCTCGTCCATGTGGAAAAGGCCAGCGAGGTACATGGGTCATTTAACTGATCTCTATCCATCACTACATAGCATCATCCATGAAAACCCCTGAATACGCATTACAATCATTTTTATGAGTACACTGTGCTCTCATTGTCATAGTCATTTGAAAAACCAACAGTCCATGATGAGCATTGTATGTACGTGCTCTGTGTCAATAATGTTTCCCTGCAGTTTCGGCAGAGTCACTTCAGAAGAACCTTGAGCTAATGGGCCGTCAGATCAAGACACTGGAAAAAGATCTGGAAACCTTCCCTCCTCCACAAAATGACAAGGACCTGTTTGTGGAGAAGATGGCAATATCCTCTTTATTTAAATGACATATTTCATAGTAATCATCATAATCATCAGTAATTACATAAAACAGTCTGTTTATAAAAGCATTAAAGCAATAGATCCTGTCATTATAAATGATTTTCATGGCTTGTTAGCATACAGAGATATATTGTGTAGTTCCTTAACATCGTGTTTCCACATTTTTGTGAGTTCTGCCCATGAGCAGCATGAGAAGCTGGATCTGCTGCACAAGAATATGGAGAAGCAATACACTGACCTGGGACAGTACTTTGTCTTTGACCCGAGAAAAATCTCAGTGGAGGAATTCTTTGGAGACCTCAACACCTTTAAAAACATGTTCCAGGTGTGTTTTTCTGTGTGAATGATCTAACTCAAGCTTGATCTGCAGGTGTGGTTCTCAATCAAATCTAGCTCTTGCACATAGAGTTCAAGGACATACACACAAGTGGAGTCAACAAAAAAAAATAGATGAGAGAGGAAAGATGAAAGACTGAATGTCAAATCAATAAGAGAAAAAAGGCTGTGTGTTTGTATTGACAATAATGAAGAATAAGAGCGACAGTTTACACATCAACTGTAAATGTGCCGTTTGAAAGGGCTCCCGCAGGAGGTGACCTGTTTTACCAGTTAATATGGATAACTGCCATTCCCTGAGTTTGAAGTTATGTTTATACACAGACATCAATCAGAGCCATCATTCACCTGTCTTTTTGAGTTTTTGTTCTAAAAATCACTTTTATACTTTTCACACTTATCCTCACCAGACACCAAACTCCAAACTCAATGTAAGCACAGACACTGTCTTTATACCTTTTCTGTGTGTTTCCCCACCAGCAAGCAGTAAAGGAGAATCAGAAGAGGAAGGAGGCTGAAGAGAAGATCAAGAGGGCCCAAACTGGCCAGGGAAAAGGCAGAGAAGGAGAAGGAGGAGAAACTCAAGAAGAACCAGCATCTCGACATCAACACAGGTCACACTTGCTTTATCTTTTCTGTTTCCCTGAGTGTTTGTGTCTGAGAAACAGGGAGTGCTTCTCTTTCTCTCAGTTTGCATTTCCCTCAGACTCCAGTTGGGGGCAGTCAGAGTCCACACTTCTGTGGAATATGTGTGTGCGTGTCTTTGTGTGTGTGTCTTTGTGTGTGTGTGTGTGAATGCAGAACCCATCAGTATTATAGACCGTAGTTAATCTAATATTGATGACCTGTGTTTAGAAGTAAAACAGTTACAACAGGCTCCTCAGATACAAGGAGGATGCATATAAGGATCCGTCCGACCTCTGTTCACTCCTCTGGTGAACCGGGGATTTGCTCGCATAAAAGAGAACTGAAAGAACGCCTAAATCTCTTTATCGCAGGAAAACACATTTTCACTCTTCTATGAGATGCTCTTATCCTTAAATAAAGGCCAGCAGCATATTGTCCCATGTAACACACACACACTCTCTCACTTTCTCATCCCCGTTATACACACAGTTAACACTCAAATCCTGCCTTGCAGACACACATTAATACACAGGCACTTTTTCCCCTTCTCTCAGACTGACCTAGTTTCAGAACATTCCTCCTCTCTCTGACTCCAGTCCTGTTCCCCTGGGACTTCACAGTCAAAATTAGCTCCAGCCTAAGTTCACTTAGTTTATAAGTGTTTGTATTTGTGTTACAAATTATGCCTTTTTTTTTTATGAGTGTTTCTGTTTTGCTTTGCTTATGTGTTAGAGAACCCTTGTTTCGGCCAAAGAGTTCTCTGCATCTTTTTAGTGAACCTCTTTTACAAAAAGTAGTCCTGGCCTTCCTCCTAGTTCTCCATGTTCCAGCTGGCTTCTCCTCTCCTCTCCTCTCTATTTTGCTTTTGTTCCATTGCTCCTTCTTTTTTCCCCCTTTCCCTCCCCCCGTGCCCATTTAAAGGGCTCTTAAAGAAACAGCAAGCACAGAGGCCCCACTCTGAATATTTGTTCTCAGTGTTTAAAGTACATAGCTGACATGTTGTGGTAGAAAGTGAAGTAGTCAAATTTCATTTTCAGCTTCTAGAGGCATGCACGAATGGAACATTATACTGCTTCAAACATGTGTGTGTTGTTCATGAGCATTAGTGAGATCATTTACATACAGGTGGCATATTGGTTGCCCCCTGTAGCCCGGAGTCATTCAATACCCCCCCTATTCAAATTCAACCACGAGCAATGTTGGCATACACACACCTGGCCTTTGTCTTGTATTTGCTTATAACCATCACCACTGGATGGCTTTTACACAAAGGTTGTTTAACAGCAGCTTTACTTTCTCACACCAACACCGTCCTTGTTCCCTTTTTATTTTGGATTCCCCACTCACATACCCTCACTATCTGCTAAATTCTTTGAATGTTCCTCTCTCTCACTTTCTGTCTCTTTGTACACTATCCCAGTCGTTGGGTAAACCCTAGAAGGTCAGTGTGTGTTTGCACTTTGTGGCCTTGTCATTCCTATGTGAGGCAGACAGGCAGACGCTCACTCAGTGGGACTCTTTCTGCTCATCATCTAGGCATGTGATGATAGTTATTGTGAATAACAGAAACCTCTGAGATTCTTTCTAGATTATAACTCATTTAATCTTCTGATCACCATATCATTTACTGCGTTTCCTTGGCTTTATTTGGCCCTCATAAAACATAGACGTTGAGGCTCCAAGGAACCAGACTGACACACCCAAAATCCCACACTCACTCTCTGTGCTCTCTGTCAGACCTTTTCTCTAATTTGATCGGATAAATACTGCATGCTGCTATAATGAAAAATCTATTACTGGCTGTCATCCTTGGAAAAATGCCAGACTACTTGGCAACTGGCTTTTCCTGGTTTCTACAGCTAGGTGTCAGTGCTGTCTGTAAAAGGTTGAGGCTTTTATGCACGTGATAAAGGGTGTGTGCATGTGTGGTTACACTCCCCCACAGATGCTGGTATGGGAACTGCCACAAGGAGTGCTCGTGCTCCACACAGAGAGTGAGTAAAGGGCGTAGTGTGGGGGAGGGAAGGTAGTAGAACAGCAGATGCTCTCCTGAGGATTAGACTGTGTTGTAAAGAGGGGGGGAGAGGAGGAGAGGAGAAAAGCACATGAAGAGAGAGAGAGGATGAGATAGGATAAGCCTGAGTAGCCTGTCTCACTCCAGGCCACTGTGAAAGAGAGACACCATCATGGCACATTAGGAATATAGAAATTCTTCCCCCCATGAACACTGTCTTTTAATCAAGAATTGTTTCCCTTTTCTCTGCTTTTCTTTCTGCCGTAGTTGCTACTCAAATATTGCATTTATAATCTTCAAATGTTATTGTGTGAACGTCCTTTAGGGGTGCTACTGCTCCACACAACATGTTGTCCTCACACAAGAGATTTAAAGAGACATCTTTAAGAGCTCATGATCTAACCCAATTACACAAATGAATCCATCTTATGTTCTTATTTGCTGCAGCTCATGTAATACCTGGCTGTATCCTGCACGAGAGGAGTGTGTGTGGAGTGTGTGTGCATGCTTACTACTCCCAATCCATGCATTTGTTGCACTGAGTCTTCCAACACAGTTTCAGAGGCCATTTCAATGTTAATGGTGTATTGATTCTGCATGATAACACCATTAACTGGATATCTGTCCCTCATGTATTATCTAAAGGTGGTTTAATGCATCAAGTGTTATTCTCCCCATTATGAGCCCTTTACTATCCTCTAACAAACCAAACATTGTTAAGCTTTTAAAAAAAAAAAAGCTATATGGCTTCATGAAACACTGTTGCCCGAGGCCAAACTCACACAAAAACACTAAAGAGCTCCATGTATATGCTATACAGTGCACTGGCCTAGGACATTCTAATTTTAGTCAGGAGTTCACTCTGGCTTCAATAAGACTTCTTTATTCACAGCCAGGTCATTGTTTGGGCCCTCAATTGCCTCCAGTGCATCTTCACAAATAGGTTTGTGTGTTTGTGTGCTACCACCAGTATTTTAAGCTAACCATGTGATTAGTTTGAGTGGAAATGTGCCAGATGTGCTTTCCCGGAAGGAGAAAAAACATGGCCTACATCCCTCTGATCTATGTGTGCAGTTGCAGAGCATGGAAAGGGCGGGGTGTGTGTTTGCAGTTGCAGAGCATGGACAGGAAGGGGTGTATGTGAGCTGTGGAAGTCCTGTGGAGTGTGTGTGAGAGAGACTTTCTCTGACGTGACAGGCGAGAGAGACCACAGACCATCTGCTTCATGGCTTACTGCAGGATTACATATTGTGTGTGTGTGTGTTTGCGCAGAGCTATGTGTTTTTTTGTGTGTTTGGGGGTTGGGGAGGGTGACAACATAAACCTTAACCCCCAACCTCACTGCCCCCTTCTCCAGACCCCTCTGTCTCTTTTCAGGTTCAAATAGAAATAATTAAAACCATCTGCCTGAGTGCTGAGCTGTGCCTCTGAATCCTGCCCACAAAACAATAATGACAACACTCATACACTTATAGACAAAGCTGCATTGTCATGAAGTACCCCCTGATTCCTGATTTAAGATCACCAGACCATGTGGATGTAAACAAACAAACAAGACCACGTGTACAAACTGTGACTGTACTCCCACACAAATACAAGGTTACTTTCTCGTCAGCATATTTTAACCATCAGCAAAACTCATTCATTCTGTAATATTGAAATGTTTATGAGGAGGTTTGGTCTCAGTGGGTGTGTCTTTCTAATAATGTTGTATGTGTGTGTTTTAGAGGTTACCTCCCTGGATGTGGAGTGTGTAGCCCCTAGCAGAGACAGTAGCTGAACTAGGTCACTGCCTATCTGGGTTAATTTAGCTAATTTGCCAACATGGCTGGTAAATAACCTCCCTGCCCACGTGTGTGTGTGTGTCTGTGTGTGTGGGTGGGTGTGTCTGTGAGAACCAGTGATAGGTAGAGGGTTTAGAAAAACCACCAATCACTCCCCTGATGTTGAGAGAAAATGTTTTGTAAATGTCAGGGTTGAATTGATTTATAATAACATGGTTGTGATATCAAAGTGGCGTGTGTGAGACAAAAATACAATTTAAATGTGACTCTCGTCTACATGTTGATTTAATCCAGTGTTTCTTGATGCATTGCTGATGTTTTCATTCTATGTTTACAGACGGGGATGAAACTGGTATCATGGATGGTCTGCTGGAGGCGCTGCAGTCGGGCGCTGCCTTCAGGAGAAAGAGAGGACCACGGCAAGCAGGTACACAAGCAGAGCAGTACATCTTTGAAAAACATGCAGATGCCAAGTCTTACTTGTTTGAAAGATTTGTGTTTCCTTTCACACACAGTTGTGGTATGCATACTATACTGACACATGTGGAGCATATGAGAGTCATTTGTTCCATCTCCCTGTAACTCTGTCTCTATGTTTCTGTCAACACACAACAACATATTTGTTTGTGTCCCCCATGTCTCTGTTCCATCTGTTGCATGGCTCAGAGACAGAGGGGGGGGTGGCTGTATTTCTTGGCCAGGGTTACAAGGGGGAAAAGCCAATTCACCATGAGCTGGCACAACAACAAAAGAAGAGGGAGGGTGTGGGCAGCAGGGTACTTAAGAGAGGGGCAACTGGTGGGGGTCTGGTTGTGGAATAGGAAAATATAAGAGGAATATGAATGTGGTTAGGGATAATAAACCAGAGTGTGGGTAGAGAGTTCAAGGAAGTGGGATCAGTGAATAGGCAATAGGCAAAACATGTATTTAGTCCCCCTCCACTCCAACATGTGCTTTGCTTATTGCTCTCTTGGAATGTTGACCCTCTCTGTGCAGAATGATGTATGTGTCAGGAATCTGGAGTGTTTTCCAATTCCTCTGCTGGAAAGGGAACGTTTCTGCGCTCACCTTGAATCAGAATGTAACTTGTATATATTGTAGCATTAGTTTAGATCCATTGATGGTCCAATATGCAATTTCCCAATGTGTGATATGAAAAATGGATCGAAAAAGTACTACACATTTTTCACATGATTTCATAGCCCAGATAACTCTTACTGGTACATACAATATATATCATAACATCTATTGAATCCCATTAAATCAACTCCAAATCTTTTCTTCCATTGTATCTTGGAACAAAAAAAAAGTTGGATGGCTGTTTTTGTCATTACTAGGCCTGCCAGAAGATCATGTTCTATGTTTGAGGACTAGTCCTAAACACAACCCCATCCTGTATCGATTTTCATTCAGGCCGTGTTGTTCAGTCTGTAAAGCTTGCAGAGACAGGCCAGTAATCTGGTTTGCTACTTATTCTGCTTTGTGTCCTACTGACAAATCCAGTTGTATTCACTTACTGGAGACTACTGTGTCCTTATTTTGCCTTATGCTTCTTAAATGTTCCATGTACCACATTTTGTAGAAAATGGGTTTGGGTAAGACCGTGCAAATAAAAATGAGGCAGTACGAGCTGTTAGGATAGTAACTCTGTAACATGACACCATGTGTTAGGAAACTCGTGTGTAACCATGTGAGTGGGAAAGTGTCCAGTGCCCATTAACTGAGAGAGAGAGAGAGAGAGGGAGCGCAAGAGAGAGCTAGTGTGTGTGTTTGTTCACATGCACTGATGTGTGGGTTGAGTATTCACACATAAAAGAGGCCGGGGAAGAGTGTGTGCAACCCAATACCTTCCTCAATAGAAGCCAGATGTGAAGCGGGCTCCAGAGCAGAGGAGCTCAGAGCCAGAGGGTAGACTGAACTTTTTCTTTCTTTTTTTTAATCTTTTTCTCTGTCTCTGTCTTTCATTTGAGTTTTTCTTTGAAATGCCTTTGGATGACATTTTTATGAAATGAAGCTTAGTGTTGTAACTGGTAGTCCAGTAAGTCACACAGGGAAAATTGCCACGTTCAGAAAATGTTCTTTAATCACAAACAGCTCGGGCTCATCTCCACCAAACTGTCGGAGACAACAGTGAAAGGAGGAAAAGGAGGGAGAATGGCAGCCGGAAATAGAGGCACTGTATGAAAGAAAAAGGGGGCCCATTTAGGGTTAAGTCAGTCACCCATAATGCTGTTTGGCCACCTCACAATCCTAACAGGAAATACCTTGACATGTGTGTTCGAGAGAGGGAGAGAAATGGAGAGCCTTCCTCCCTCTACACACTTGTCTGTGGTTGGAAACATTTGGAAAATATAAGTGGCTGTATGAATCACATATCTGCTCAGTGCCTCCTCCCCGTCTCTTCTTTTTCCTCGGTCTTGTCATTTTTGTTTTATTCAGCCAAAGTTCAGGGTTTTCATGGCTGATGAGGAGGGTGTGAAGCCTCGCTGTGGTTCTTAGAAAATCTCAGCTCTGTTTACATTTTTCCTTGCTTCTTTCCAGTTACTAATTTGGCTTCCAAGACACAAAGTCCTTCACTGACAGAGTTTGACACATAGTTTGTATTTCACTGGTTGGTTGGAGTCAGAGGCCTTGAGTCAGTTGACCTAAAGTAAGAGGAGGCACATCCTGACTCTGGATTTACTCAAATCTGGCAACAGTGGGGGCCACAGACTAAAAAAGTGATTACTTTTTCCAAATTCTCCAAGTCAAAAGTGTGACACAATGGTAGAAAAGGTTGCTCCTGGGTCTGTTTCTAAATATAAACATTTGGAGTTGTAAGATCTCATAAAAGTGGCATCATTTTAGTGTGATGTTTTCTCATCTCCCCCTCCCTCACTGAGCATGTGATATCATTTGTCACTAGGCCTGAGGCCGGTTGAACCAGTTGCTCATCTAATCTCAGTCTAATTACTTTCCATGCAGTCAAAATACAATTGATTTAAACTCTTGTTTTCATTGGTATCACTGATCAGATGTCACGTAATGAGTCTGCAAACACAAAACAAAGGTTCATTCACTTGTATGATCTATGAAAAAGCAAAGCAGGGAAGGAGGGGGTCAGGAGTCAGTTTTTTGTCAACCTATAAAAATAACTCAAGTAGCAACGACATATTCTTCTTAGTTTCATACATTTTGAATAATGCATAAACTCATTGCCAGGAGGTTTTACTTCATGACCGAGTGCCAAGAGTTATCACTTAGACTTTCTGGCCTAAGTTTGATCTGGTAGAAGTGTATTTCCACATTAAGGTGCTGCTCCATATCCTCCTAATCCTTTGTTTAAAAAAAACAAACACAAAAGTGATATAGAGTTTATGCATAGAACTACTGCAGCATGTTACATCTAATCTGATATCGCTCTATAGAGCTGGATGCTCAGACGCGTCATCAGATGGCATTTCACATTACTGTCAGACTAGGGCTGCACGATATTGGAAAAAACTGACATTGCGATATTTTCTTCCCCTGCGATATATATTGCGATATGAAAAAATACAGGAATTGAAGAAAAGACAGTTTTTTTTGTCCGCAATCCATCTTTTCTTGAACTTTAATGCTATACAATTGGTTTTTTTTTAACAATATGTAACCGGATAAAGGATTTTAGTCACGGACTTCTGGATCTTAAAGGGGACCTATCATGCAAAATGCACTTTTGTACGTCTTTATATACATGAATATGTGTCCCCGGTGTTCCAGGGAACTCACCAAGTGTCAGAAAACACAACCCTCTCTATTTTCCTCCATACCCAAATCTCTAAAAAAAGGGGCTGCAACGGATCTGATAAAAACTGATCCAGATTTGAACACTGTCCTGACGTCAGGACGGTGGCGCTACGGGTATTGGGCCAACTCCACCAATCAGGAGGAGACAGCCACGGCCATTGCCGTTCGATAAGCGTTGTAGTACATATGCCATGGCCTGTAAGTGGCGCTGTAGTCCTGCCACAAAAGCAGCGAAGAAGACTTCCCGGCCCATAGTTACCATGGTTACCCTTCTGTTTATTCTCCGCTGTGGCTTTTTTTCTCCCTCCCCGAGGCAAGCGTTTGCTCCCGCTGCAATGCAATCCCTCCCCGTCGAGGCAAGCACTGTAATTCTCTCCGGTTAGTCCACCAGCAAGGTTCAAGGTTCTTTATTGTCAATCTGACATAGCTACAGAGTAATTATGCAGTTGAAAATCTTATGTCACAGGCTTCTCCAACAATGCAACATAATAACATAACATAATAACAATAAGAGCAAGAGCAATACAAAAATAATAATAGTTATAAAAATGAAATAAAGTTATGATGTGGAATAGTGCAGTATGAGTCTATATACAAGTTATTGGAATGATATATATATATTAGGTATTAGATACATATTACTGAGTAGCAGTTGAATGTTTGAAGTTGTTTCAACAGTTCAATTTTTTAACAGTCTCACTGCCCGCGGGAAGAAACTGTCTCCGAATCTTCTTGTCCTTGCCAGGATGCTGCGGTAACGTCTGCCAGACGGCAACAGAAAGAACAGTTTGTGGCTGGGGTGATGGGGGTCTTTGATAATCCGTAGTGATTTTCTTCCTGAGCCGCTGGGAGTAAAGGTCCTCCATGGATGGCAGCTCCGTCCTGGTGATGTGCTGTGCAGTTTTTCACCACCCTCTGTAAAGCCTTACGATCGAGGTCGGTGCAGCTTGCCGTACCAGGCCGTCATGCTGCCAGTGAGGATACTCTCTATCGTGCACCTGTAGAAGTTGCAGAGTATCCTGGAATCCATTTTGACCCTCCTCAACCTGCGGAGGAAGAAGAGCCGCTGTCGAGCTTTCTTAGTGATGGTGGTGGTGTGAAGAGACCATGTCAGGTCCTCAGTGATGTGGACCCCAAGGAACCTGAAGCTTTTGACTCTCTCCCACCGTAGTCCCATTGATGGCGATGGGGGCGTGTCCCTCTCCCTGCTGCTTCCTGTAGTCCACAATCAGCTCCTTTGTTTTGCTGATGTTGAGATGGAGGTTGTTCTCCTGGCCCCAAAGATGTCAGGTTTTCGACCTCCTCTCTGTACGCCGTCTCGTCATCGTCTGTGATCTGGCCGATGACGGTCGTGTCATCAGCAAACTTCACGATGGTGTTGGAGCTGTGTGTGGCCACGCAGTCGTGGGTGAACAGGGAGTAGAGGAGAGGGCTGAGCACGCAGCCTTGAGGGGCAACCGGTGTTGAGAATCAGGGTGGAGGATGTGATATTTCCCACCCGCACTGCCTGGGGTCTGCCCGTCAGGAAGTTCAGGATCCAGTCGCAGAGGGCGCTGTTGAGTCCGAGGTCTCTGAGCTTGATGGCCAGCTTGGAGGGCACAATGGTGTTGAATGCTGAACTGTAGTCAATGAACAGCATTCTCACATATGTGTTCCTCT